ACCCCAAAACCCCAAACCCTAAACCCTAAACCCCTAAACACCAAAACCCCTAAACCCCTAAACCCCTAAACCCCTAACCCCTAAACCCCCAAAACCCCTAAACTCCTAAACCCCAAAACCCTAAAATCCTAAAACCCTAAAGGGATTCAGGGCTGCCAGGGCCGGAGCTATTTAGATGCGGCTCAGGGGTTCGATCGGGCTCTTGTTTTAGGAACCCAAAAAGGGCATAAGCATAAGCATGTTATAGGGATATCCCTACCTTATTGGGCTTCATTATAAGGGGGGTTTATATATGGGATATCCCTATCCTAAGTTTTGCTTATGTGCCTTTTTTGGGGACCTATTGTTGTTTTTTGGCTTTAGGGAGCGCTAGGCCGCCAGGGCTAGGGCTCCGAGTTGGGCTAAACAGAAGAGTATCTTGAGGGGTCCCCTTGGAGGTTCATGGCTAGTTATAAGTAGGGTTATAAGTAGGGTAACTATGATTATAACCCCTATTAGGGGACTTACATAACCCCACTTATAACTACCCATGAACCTCCAAGTAGGCAAACCTAATCCTAAATCCTGCACCCTAAACACTTGTCAGAGTCTGATGTAACGACCTTAAGATTAGATAAGTTTTTTTAAAGGGGGGGCGGTATTCTACGATAACTATGAGAAACAAGCCTGCAAACAGTCTTTCTGATTTTTCAGCCTCGTGACATAATATAGTCATCCTATACACCACTTCACATTCCTTGCCCCACAGTCGTACACACCCCCCCAGCCCCCGGAAAAGACTTCTGCAATCTGCATTTGGTTTTGGAACTACTCGGTCCTTGATCCTACATGGACCGTCGTCGAAGAGGTGGTCTGTGTGATGAACCACTACTTCTGCCAGCTAACTGTGGACTCTCGCGAACCATCGCATAACCAAGAACAAAGCAGACACGGGTTTTGGCAACACCATGCAAACACCGATGAATGCGTTCGGTGACAGTGTTCGTCAAATATCTGAGGCTCCGACGTCCATGAAGCTCCGGAAGCTTATCAGACTGCTTGGGTTCACGCCCATCTCTTCAAACACCTAGACAGCGCATGGCTTTGAGGTAGCACAGACACCCTTAGCACAAGGTCCAGGATTTAGTGGGGATGACACGGGCCTGCGGGACACATAAAGTTCTTGCTGGACATGAAAGATTGAAACCGGATATCCGCCACCAGCAACAACAGCAGCAGCAGCAATAATAACAACCCCAACTGAATCTAGTGTGCCGCAGCACGTGTATTCAACTTGCACATTTCTGTCACCGGAAGCAGAACTCAGGTTAGCAAGGAGTATGATGGCATTCACGTCAAGAAAGCTGGTGATTAAAGGAACAGCGACATGGCAATGGGGAGCAGGAAACACTCGCAATGCTGCCACACCAGCACGGCAAGGCACGAACAGTTGAGTGCGCTAAATGCTGTTGCTGATGATCTAGATGACTGCGACGGTAGCCATGTCCAGGATCATGGCGGCTGATGATGCGGATGATGATGATGATGATGATGACGACGATGATGATGATGATGATGATGATGATGATGACGACGATGCTGATGATGACGATGATGATGATGGTGGCTATGGGGGTTGATGGTGATGTTGAATATGATGACGAAGATGATGATGATGATGTGGTGATGATCAGGCTGCCGTCCATCAATAACTGACTCTGGGAGAGCAGGTTGAAAGACAACTGTACCTTGTCATATTCGCAACCGCTAGAGCAAATCCTGTATCGATTACTTCAGAATCCAAGCCACAAACCTGAACAAAATGCAGCGCCTGAAACCTGTGACTACTGGAGGCTCAACCCTCGCGAGGCTTCAACTTCAATTCCAACTTTCCCTAAGTAGAACCCCTCCCCTCCCGCCGAACTTCCACCAATGCCCCTACTAGTAGCTCATTACCTCCCCCTCCCGAAACCGGAGTGACAGACCATCTGAAGCCTCGGAAACAGCACCCTCCCCCCGAACAAACCAAGAAACCTTAGCGCACATGAAACTCAAACCTCAGCACCCAGACTCTCCGCCCTTGTCGGCCTGACGGAGCGTGTCCTGCAAGCTCCATCCATGAATACAAAATCCCGGCCCTGCTGCCCTGCTCCGAAAGTTTAGCATCCGTAATTACAACCTCTACAGCAAGAAGGCCTCCCCAAAGTTGCTGGCTGCCTCAAATCTTTCCGGAAAGGGACGAAGGCAATGGAATTTCTTTCAGAGCGTTTGTTCAGCACTCGCGAGCACATGAGTATGTTGGTGTGCACATGTGTGTATATTATATACACACATGTGATTATGCATATATATATATATACACATACATATATATATATATATATACATACATACATACATACATACATACATACATACATACAGACATACATACATATATGTATACATATGTTCTGTACGCACGATATATGGTGTAAGGTCATCACATATCAAATATAACAAACCCGCCAGATTTGTCTTCGGAAGTTAAGCGGCCTGAAATGATCATACCAGACAAAGCTGTTAAACTTCACCAAGACCGCTCAATGCCCGACATAGACTGCCTTAGATCCCGAAGGCAGGACAGGAGGACTTCATGCCACTGAAGAAGGAAATACTAGATGCCCATCGTGCAAGCCGGTGAAGCATCCTCGTGAATGTCGATGTTTGAGCGGCTAAAGATCTCCTTGAGCTCAGCGAGGCTCACCTGACGAATCTACGGGCCTTGAATCATAATGGGGTATTTGTGTATCTCAAAATATAGGTGTGTTAAAGGAGGCTTAATACTTAACGATTTGTTATTGTAAACCCTGCTGTATTACAACTCGCCCATGGATTGAGACTAACGGCCTGTCCACTTTCCGGAACCAAGGTGCGGGAGTCCGGGATTTGGCTTCGAAACGATTGAAGACTCACAGCTGCATATTGCCAGATTCTAGATCTCTTTGTCGATGGCTTTTGCTATGGCGCTGAGTTGGGCGCATCAACTCTATATGGCCGCTGTTTTAAGCTTCGCATGATGCGCACGCTGGTCTGGTGTCTGGATTCTGAACATTGGTGGCAGGATGGGTGAGTAGGCCATCGTGATTTTTGCTGCGCTTCGTTCCTTCCATTTAAAGCCTGATGTAGCAAACTTAGAGAGTTCATAAGAGCCGAAAACACAACTGTAAGTATGCACGTCGACAGAATCGCACCCTCCTTCGCCTAACCGCCCTAATAGTCTCGAAACCCAGGGCACCACTGCAGCACCAAAAAGCAGACTCCTGCCCAAACCTCGACAGTCCGAAAGCCCCAAACCCTTAACCCTAAACTCTGAACCCAAAACACCAAACCCTAAACCCTCAACCCTAAACTCTGAACCCAAAACACTAAACCCTCAACCCGTAACCCTAAAGCCTGAACCCTAAACCCTCAACCCTCAACCCTAAACCCTGACCCCGAAGCTCTGGCCCTCCAGCCCTTCCCCAAGAAAAGCGGGCATCGGAAGTCGAAACCCACAAGCCTGGGCACTAGAAACCCTAGGCCCTAAGCCCTACACTCTGAACTCTAGATTAGGGTTTAGGGTTTAGGGTTTAGGATTTTAGGGTTTAGGGTTTAGCTAAACCCTATCAGCCCTAAACCCTAAACCCTAATCAAGAGAACTCCCCATAGCCCTAGGCCCTAAGCCCTAAGCCCTAAACCCAGAACCCTGAACTCTAAACCCCAGCGAGTGGCAGAATCTTTGCCGTTGTCAGCATCCTGTGGGCGAACTTGGGCTCCAAAGGCGACTCGATAGGGTCTTGGATTCTATTATGTTTTCTGCACTAGATGGGATAAGGGTTTAGGGTTTAGGGTTTAGGGTTTAGGGTATTTCTGTAGTATATACCGTCGGGTCTACCCTGCCTTTCCTAAGTTCGGGATTATGTATTTGTTTACAAAATCATACACTGGCGTTGAGCTTCTTCTTACCAATGTCGTACTGCTCCCTTCTCCGGTGCCCAATACCGATGATTGCTGACTGGCTTTTTGCAAATAAGAACTCTTGGTGCTGCTGGTCGTTTCTGAAGAGTTAAGAAAGATAAGATCCTTGAACACATGCCGTGATCGTAATCGACAAGCTACGACTTACGCTTTATTGCTAATTAAAATTGGTTGAGGATGGCAGCAACATCGCGGACTTATGGTGCAGGCAGCAATTTCAACAGCTCTCGAAGCTAGAAACCATACCGAACTCCTGAAACCGCAAGCCTAGGATCGAGACCTTTGGCCAGTGTCCTGCCACTTGGAAACTTTGCGCGACTCGTTGCAAGGAAAACTTCAGGCTCAAACATATATCATCTGGCGCCCCAACCCTACAGCCCGAAACCCGATGCCTACGTGCAAAGAGACACCCCAAAAACCGCAAATCGCCCTAGTCCCTATGTGCCCAGGATCCGGGCCTTCAATGCTGCGACGAGCTGTGTGTTCAGCTGTCGGGTGACCTCCAGGACTGTCCGACATGTGGGAGTTTCCAAAAATTTGGGTACCTTATTTTGGGGTCCTTATAATAAGGGTCTTAGTATTTAGGGTACTATATTAGGGTCCCCTAGTTTCGGAAACTCCCATATCGGTTCGGAGTCTTTCCAGGGCCCTGCATGCTTGAAACGGACGGAGGATGTCTTGAGGGGCGGCTTGGGCCTCGGGCTTTACTTGAAGAGAGAAAAGAACCACCGGATCAGGGCATCGTCTTTCAGACATCTAAACCCGAAAACGCGATGAGGCACCCTAAACACTAAACGGTAAGTATTCTCCCAAGACTGGACGACATCCTGGTCCTAAACGGCACCCTTCCAAAACTAAGTGGGGCAACTTCTGCTATATGAGGTGCCGTAGACCCGAAAGCCAACCCCAGCCTCTGCGATGATGAGGTAAGGATGCCCCGCGTTGATGGCCGCACGACTGGCAGACCTCAGAATTTGAGAAGCTGCTTTGGGGCTTGGGCTACTTGGAGGTTCATGGGTAGTTATAAGTAGGGTTATAAGTAGGGTAAGTATAATTATATACCCCTATTAGGGGACTTATAACCTACCCATGAGCCTCCAAGTAGGGATTGAGGATTGGGGGCCTAGGATCGACTTTCGGATTCGGGGAGTGTGGAAGACTGGAACGGGTTTAGGATTTAGGGTTTAGGGTTTAGGGGGGCCCGGCTCAGCAGAATTACGAGTACTGAGTCCTTGAGTCAGCCTATCCTCCTCTTCCGGCAGCAATCTGGCAGAGAGCTCCAGTGACTGTGGGGCCTTCTCCCCTCAAAGCGGCATATCGCTGTCTGTATCCTGGCAGGTTCCAGTCGACCCAGCTTCTCAGTCTTGAGCCGCGACTGGCATGAGACAACATATTGGGGACGACAATTCACATGTGATGCATAGCCCTCGATCGACGGAAGCTTTGCTGGTCGACACACGGCTCTGATGTTGAGGGCATCTCAAGTTAGATCTACATCAACTGTCCCAGGGTCCGAGGAGGGCTTTGTTGTAGGGGTAAATAGGCAGCTCTGCATGAACCTCAACAAAAGCATGCCACCAAGGAACCTAGCTGCCGCAGTGGCGGTGGCTTCTACCGCCTCTCACTCTGCAACCAGGGGAGGGGAGGGGAGGGGGGGCAGGCGGGTCATGAGCCTTCAAAGGCTCTTCGGGGTACCGAGAAGCCGGGCTGACATGTCGTAAGCGATGGAGGTTGTGGCTCGAATCAGTATGGTCTCCAGCTGTAAGATTGAAAGATCATATGCAGGACACGACAAGTAGAAGCACGCATAAGATTGAATCCCCCTGTGCTTGGTGAGCCTGTACACCACACGAACAGAGAGCACTGCAGGGGATGGAATCACAGCCTCGCTCATGAATGAACTCTGAACTCCCAGGGTTAGGGTTCAGAATCTACGGGGTTAGGATTGAATTAGGGGTTTCCGAAAATAGGGGACCCTAATATAGTACCTTAAATAGTACGATCCTTATTATAAGGACCCCAGAATAAGGTACCCCGTGTTTTCGGAAACTCCCAAATTATCCCGTCTACAGAGCTGGTGACCGGGAGCCTGGTAAGGAGGCAGCCCCGAGGTTGCCGCAGATTTCGTGGCTGCCTGCATGGAGGCTGCAAGGCCGTGAGCTTACCTTAATTTTGGGGGTATATTATACTATAATTAATAATTAGAATGATTAAGGAACCACTAATTGGGGACGTAGCCGGACTGGACTCTAAGACTAGGGACGTACGGTATGGGTTTCGCGGCGTCGCGGACCGGGACTCTCGAAGTTCACAGGGCTGCACATTCGACCTGTCTTTCTTGCCTCTACAAACATGCAGACAAAAAGGTGTATAGCAGCTACTAGTAGATGGTAGGCATGATGGCCGCATTTATACCTGATAGCACCTCGCACCTTGGAAGGGGAAGGCACCACGAATATCTGAGGAATACTGCAGGAAACGAGGCCAGGAAGCCTGACCTCCCATCGGAATCTGCTAAAAAAATAGTTGCTCTCTTCGGTTGCTTGTGCTGGGTGTATTTTGAAGTATGTTGAGTTATATTTCATCACGTCATAAAAATGTAAAGGCTGTACATTTTCCCATGGGCAAAGCTGAGCCC